CCATTATGGTTATCAATACATCCTAAAACACTACCTTTCATCTCTTCTTTTAACATTGCAACTATGTATGTTTCATATTAGCATAAAACAATCTGAACATGACATGTATTCTCAATAGAGATATGTTCACGTATATAATTTACAACTAAGTGTACATATTGAGGATACATGTTCAGATTTTTTGTATGTATGAGGGTGTGTGGTAAGAAAAAGTTTTACAAATTCTACTTTGCTATAGAAAGTGCACATTCTATGACACTAGGAGACAGACGTGAGAAGTTAAGACAGCTGCCAAGGACAGTAAGACAAAGATCCTGTCTTCTAGAGGTTCACAGGCCATAATGTGTTACAGCGAAGAAAGAAAAAAAGCACCAGTGATTTTTATTGGGTTTCCAACAAATATTTGTTTAGCACCTATGTGTGCCCTGTGCTAGTCTAGGGATTTTATATCACTTTCTAGTGACACAGTCACCATGAATCAAATAAGCTATCAGGGCTGAATTGAATTTGCTGGGTCAGTGGTCCCTAAACATTTCTGAACCACAGAGCAATTTGAGATTCTGATTAAAAAGAAAAGAAAAGAAACTTCTCCCTAGGAAAGCACACATAACTACAATTCTGGACTCAATTTCACTGACACTTCTGACCTAACACCCAAGGATAAGAAACTAATGGGTCTACTGCCTATTTGAAAATATAGACATACATATCTATTAAAACATGTGATCCTACACTGAAGGATTGTTTCAACAATGCAAAGTACTTATGAGGTTTATTAATAGCCTTATATCTTCAGTTAACAACATATTATTAGTGGCAATGAGAGAAGTCCCACCACAAATAAAACAGCATGTTTATTCTCAAGTACAATGCATCCAACTGACACAGACTATCACTCCAGTTACACAATGGCTGTTCAGAGTTCTCAGTTAATGGAATATTCACAGTTTAAGACCAAACACAATGCACAAAGAACAGAAAAATAGACAAAGTTGCCATATTAGGGGTAGCAACATTAGCTTCCTAGCAACAGAGACTCTGGGGAGGGCTACACATAAAATTATTTTCTATTAAGGGTCAGTAATTACTGTAAAAATAAAGTCTGACAAAATATTTCATTCATTTGCTCTAAGTGATTTTACACAACAGAGCTACAGAACATAGGCTTGGTTCCATCTTTCCTCTTAAATAACCAAAAAAGGTACCTGATCTAATCTCTTTCATGTAATTAGAAATCACCTGAAAAATGCAGAATCTGGCTGTGAGAGTGATTTGAGAATCGATGGATCTGTTTCCCTGCTCGTAAGATACGAATAGCAGTACTTACTTCACAAAGATAAGAAGCACACATTTTCAAGGGTGCCTCTCTAACGTGTTAATAAAACAATTTCATTTTTTTCATTCAACAAATATTTAGTGAATTGCAACTATGAGCCAAACACAAACAGTAAGGCAAAATTAAGCAAAATCAGACCTAACTTCTGCCTTGATGAAGTTCACTAGCTCTTTCATCCATTAGAAAGCTTTAAGTTGGAAAGTTCCACTAGAATCAGTTGTCTAACTTGACAACTAATATTTGTAAAGCATTTTACAGATCATAAAGCACTATCCGATATATCATCTCAGGAAATCCTCACTGTAACTCTCTCTCTGACTTGTATTGGTAATTCAGCTCCTATACAGGTTAAGAAACTACAGCTCAGAGAGGCCCAATGGCTACTGAAGCTGGAATCCCCTTTGCTGATCATCTCAGTGCACTACACCATCTCACTGCATTGAGCTTTAGGTCATGAGGATAAAACATGTGCAAAATCACTTTGAGCTCTTTACTGGGAACATGATCTAAAGCAGCTCTTTGTCTGTTCCCATCTTCCCAAGAAGCAGTTGTTACCCAGCTCTGACAGGATGTAGAAAATGCAATTTACTTAGCTGGAAAACCCCAACTTACCTAAGTTATAAAATGGTTAATCTGCTGAAAGACTCCTTTACTATTTCTATCATACATGCAACCTAACAGCATTGTGTTGTTGCCTGCCGTGTGCCTCTCTTCCTTGGTCAATTTCTACAGTGCTTTCCGAATACAGAAAACTTCTGCAGTTATTTTCCCTGTTACAGACTCTTAACAGTTTTCTATAACAGTGTGACTTACATAGTAAGACCGAAATGTGAAAATTCTAGATGAAACAGTCACCTGGTCCTACATTAACACTTACACGAGTTTTTTAAGGAGCCTGAGATCACTGTCCAACATTCAACCCACTGCCAAAATCCCTATGACAACATCTCTAATTTGGGGTGATCTGACTTCTTTAACACATGCAGTTCCTATTACTGGTAACAAGCAGTTTGGCAATAAGTATCCAAAGCCATAAGTAAATAGTACTAATGTCGACTCAGCTTCTGCTGCTAAGAATTTGTCTTAAGGAAACAACAACTCAACAAATATACAGGGATGAGTGTATTTGAGATATCTTCATTGTCGTTTTGTCGTTTATACTAAGAAATTAGAAATGACCAAAGTAACTATCAGCCAGGGATGGTTTTAATAAATAAGAGTGCATTCATATAGAGAGATGCTATGTAGCCATTAAAAATCATATGAACATATAAATAGTAACATAAGATATACAAGCTCTATCAAGTGAAAACTGATTACTAAATAGTATATGATATCCATTTTATGTGTGTTTACAGAGCAAAAAATCTTAATTTATTGAAGTAGAAAAACATGTCCTTCTTATGTCTACTCATAAGTTCCAATCCTGCCCCCTGAAGTTGAGAATTAACTTTGCTCTCCTTTCTACCTGATAGCCTTTCAACTATTCCTGGTAGGGCATAGTTTCTAGTCCACTTACTTCCCTGGCTTACCCTCTTAAAATGTAGAACTTGTTTGAAAACAAGCCCTTGGAAGCAGCCTAACAAAGTCAGCAAACAACGGGATGATTATCTCCTTAATTCTGAGTACTGTGCCATTAAAGCTGCCAGAGAAGGCCACCCATATCAAATGGTTGGCTGAAATCTTAAATCTTTTTAACAAGAGCTGCTACTGATCCAGGTCTCCCACTCTATAAACATGCACTTTTTCCCCTGACTCTACGAAGCTGCATTCAGTAGAGCTTAATTGTGTATGTGTTCATATTGATTGCCTTCAACTTTTTGCAGCCTTTTCTATTATGATGTCTGACATCCAGTTGGTTAGCTTCCCTCCCAAAAATGGGATAGACACAAATTTGATCACCTTTCTTGATCAAAGACCACTCTTCTCAAACTAGAATACCATGACATTTGGAAAGGACTACTAAAACATTTTATTCGGTGATAATTTAAAATATTTTAAAACCAACACAGGTATGTTGAAAATACAAAGTGAATGCATCTTTATGTGAAAACATGAGACTTCAAAGACATTTTGCTCCTGGCTGTGCTTCTAAAGTCTCCCTATACCCACCCATAACCCAACCTTTAATTCCTGTACCCTCAACCCTCTAAACCCTCCAAAATAAAGTATAAACTTTCCTCTTCCTTAATAGTAGTTCCTTGATGGAAAATTTAGAATAGCACTGGCAAGGCAGCAAATTGCACAAAGTCAACAGTTAATCAACCTGCAACACATTCATCTATCTTACTATAATCAAGCCCAAGCTTTTCCAGCTTATCCATAAAAAATCCTAAGAAACTTAATGAAACATGAGGTTTTTTATTCTGATATCCCCTAACAACAACATTACCCAAATTCTCTCTCCAATAAGTATCTGATTTATACAGGAAATGAGGTTAATTCAAGAAAGGCTTGTTATTGAGAAACCCACGCAGACTTAACCACACTTCTTTCCCAGCTAATCACAAATTATCCCTTCTTCTATCCATTTATTCCATTAGAGGATTATTTTCATGTCTGCTGTTTAAAAGGCACTGAACTAGGGTCTACAATATAAAACATGGAGTAAGACAGAAACTTCTCTTCTAGGAGGAAGAAAGATGACACATAACTACAATACATGGTAAAAATGCTTAAGAAAGTTCCAGAAACAGGGAAGCACTAGCCAGCAGAAGGAAGGGTATGTGAAGAACAGAGTATGTGTGAAAGGGTATAACAAAGATAAGACTGGGGCACATGGTAGAGAGCCACAACTATATTTAACCTGAGAAAACTCAAATCTTGTTAGGAAATCACCTGAAAGCCTTCTGGGTCACATTTAGAAAAATCTCTCATTCTCTATTTCAGAAAATTTACATGTTTTTAATTTCTGAAAAATATCTGTCTTTTCAGTCTTTTTCACCTTTCTCCTGTCTTGAAAGATTGTCAACAGAAGTCTACAAATCAGAAATTATTATGCACTTACATTTGACAGTTTACAAAGGTTTAAGGTTTATACAGCATTTTCAAGCAGATTGCCTCTGCAAGACTTTTTTAAGTATCCCAAGATACAATGAAATCAGGGCTGGACACTCAAACTCAATTTCAAGTACCACATATTCAGTCACCACCCTCAGCCTAGGCATCCATCACTTTTACCTACATTTTTTTTTAACCTTTCCAATAAAAAAGTCATCATCCTTCAAGTTTTCTAAGCTTGGAAAAAATGAAAATCACAAGTGAATGACAGTGTTGACTGTACAATTAAAACCTTCAGTGCACAAAAATATTAAATGGATGATCTCTGCAAAAACCTCTGCAAGAAATTATAAATGGCAACTACCATTAACTTTTAGTTTAGAGTAAATCTATAAAACCAAAAGAACAGACTAGACAATTCACAAGAAGGTGACAAATCTTTGGGAAAAACACTCAATGCCTATCAAGCTCCCCAAAAAAGGCTCATTAAAAATACAGATCACAGTTGTCAATTAAGAAATAAAGATGAAAAAATACAGTGCATCCTTATTATTCATGGATTCCATATTTGCAAATTCATCTTCTAAAACTTATTTATAACCCCAAGACCAACGCTCATGGTCATTTGCGCACATGTGGAGAGAACCAATTTTTTTTTTCTTTTTTCATTATGGAACGTTTCACTAATTTGTGTCATCCTTGCACAGGGGCCGTACTAATCTCCTCCGTATCATTCCAATTTTAGTATATGTGCCAACTGCAGCGAGTACACACCAAAATATTTGAGTCACTCCACATACACGTACCCAGCTGAAGCCAAACCAGCCTACACTCTTTGTTTTAGTCCTTATATTATAAACAAATGTCCTTTTTGTGACCAGTTTTTAGGACAATTTTTTTTTCATTTTTGTGGGTTTCTTGGTGATTTTGCTGTTTAAAATGAGCCCCAAACATCATGCCTTAGTGTTGTCTAATGTTCTTAATCACAACAAGGCCATGATGTGCCTTAGGGAGAAGAGATGCATTGGATAAACTTCATTCAGGCATGAGATATAGTGCTCTTGGCCATGAGGTCAATGTTAATGAACCAACAATGTATACTAAACAAGGTATCTTTAAACAGAAACACATGTAAAACAAGGCTATGTATTGATGGGTTGACAGTTGACAAAATCGTTACAACCAGAGGCTCACAGGAATCTAACTCTGTATTGTTCCCCTAGGAGCAATGGCTCAGTATTCACTAATTATGTCCTTAGTGACTTTATAGAACATAACTGCCACAAATAATAACAGTGGGGTGTTTTTCCAAATTATCCTCTATTTCCCCTATTTCCTATCTCTGGATATCCTATTTATATAACAGAATGTTATATACATTGTTACAGTTGGTTTGTTCAAATAGGAGTCCAAACGAAGTCCCCATACTGCACGTCATTACTGAGTTCCAAGTCATAGGTCTAGACTTCCTTGCTACGCTCCTCCTTAATGCCCTTCTAAAATTTTCCTCTAGGCTTTTCAAAGGTGCCTTCCCATTCTACACTGGTTTTCTCCACCTCCTCTCACAGCATCTGACTAATCCTCTCTTCACTCCTGGGTTTCTTGACATTCCTACCATTGTTTGTATAGGTTTGTTTGTTTTTTGAGAGACAGTCTCACTCTGTCATCCAGGTTGGAGTGCGGTGGCACGATCATAGCTCACTGTAGCCTCAACCACCCAGGCTCAAACAATCCTCCCACCTCAGCCTCCTGAGTAGCTGGGATCACAGGCATGTGCCACCATGCCCAGCTAATTAAACCAACCCAGGCTGGTCTCAAACTTCTGGGATCACACAGTCCTCTCACCTCAGCCTCCCAAAGTGCTGGGATTACAGGTGTGAGCCACCACACCTGGCCGCACAAGTCCTTTTACAAAACAGATTTCCTTAGTTCTTGGGGGCCCTCTGTAACTTCTTGGCCTGCCTTCTCCTGTTCTTCCTCACCCAAGGATTACTACTCTTGTTATCTGTCTTCTACATTACTATCTGTGGCCATGAGATCATATATACATTTTTTACTAACAGGTTGGCTATTTTTCAATAGCCACCTACCAAAAATTCCCTGCCTTAAACTCCAGGATGATATGGACATTTTTCCCCACTGTCACTTAAAGTTCCTTTAGAAACATCTGGTAGGATGCTGAAACTCCACATTCATTTTTGTTCTAATTTTTTAAACCTTCTAATATGAAAAACTTCAAATATATACAAAAGAGAATACTATAGTGAATACAATGCGCCCATCACTAAGCTTCAACAATGATACATATTTTGTCAGTCTTTTTAATATAGTCCCTCTTTTTGTGTTCTATTTTTGCTGGAATCTTAAAGCAAAACCAAAACAATATATCTTTTCACTTATAAGAACATCAGTGTGTGTTTATAATTAATGAATAAAATTTTTTTTTTTCCTTTTGAGACAGGGTCTTGCTCTGTCACACACGCTGGAGTGCATTGGTGCACTGTCATCTCACTGCAGCCTCTTGAGCTCATGTGATCCTCCTGTCTTGGCCACCCAAAGTGCTAGGATTGCAGGCATGAGCCACCACACTCGGCCAGAAATTTGTTTTTAAAGTAACTACCATGCCATTAACCTAACAAAATTAACAATTTCTTATCATCAAGAACTCAATCCATATTCAAATTTTTATCGTCTCAAAGGTGTCTTGTTACAGTTGGTTTGTTCAAATAGGAGTCCAAACAAAGTCCCCATACTGCATGTCATTACTGAGACCATACTGGGACTAAGGCAGAGAGGAATGAGCTCTAAGTGAGTCTGTAACAAGGAAGAAAGAAGCTCATTCAACTAAAAGAATTAAATTGGAGGCCTGGCCCGAGCAAGTGGAAAAATAAACAAAGAAAACTAAAACCATTCAGGAACATCATCAAGCAGGGCAAGAGCTAGAGAGAAAGTACCAAAGGGGCTAGGAATTTGAGTAAGGCGAATAATTGGACAAATGACAGAATTATCTTAATGGAACAAGGACTTTAGCTTTAAAAATCTCACTTTGGATCAATGAAGTAATGAAAAACAGTTACTAAAAAGCAAAACCTCACAGTCATTGTATCTAATTTAATTCCCCACATTTTAGTTTCATAAGCACTTTTGTACACCATAGCACTTTAATAAGTTTAAAATGATCATGGCTAACTCCATGAGACTAAGATCTGGATCTGGCTGACTCCAGAGACTAAGACTCACCACGTAGTCAGAGGAGAGCACAACTCAGAAACCAAAGTTCCCAAAGTCTTCCCTGGGAATCACTAAATTCACACTGAACTTCTATCTGCATCAGATATGGACACACACAGAGAAATGTTTTATATAAGCAATGCATGCTTATTAATTTAAAAAAAAAGGTAAGAAGCAAGATAAATACTTCTCAGTTTTTGAGGTTTATTAGAAATAGCTCTAAAATTTCTCCTCCTCTTTAAAATAAGCTTTTTAAAAATGCTTCTGTATTCAGTTACAATTCTTTGGGAATTTTCCCCCCAAGGTAAAGCCAAAACAGACTCTAGAGAAAGAAGAAATAAGAACTACAACTTATTACAACTACCCCACCAACAACTTTGCAGTAATATTTTATAGTATGATTAAAAAGTCATTTTAAGTATAACTCTGAAAATGTTTAATGATTACTTTAAATGTGAGCACTGATGTTTGTCTACACAAGTTAATGATGTATTATAACATCATGAAGGTTAGAAGTTGTTTGTTTTTATTTAAACAGAAGGGGTTGTCAGCATCCTTATCACCACTAAAGGTAGTTTTAACATTTCAAAGGGATTTTTTCCTAAATGTATTTTGAGAAACACATTTTTAAAAACACGTATGTACTAGGAACTCACAGATCTTGTCAAACTGAGTATTTCATATTCCAGTACAAGTCTGGACACATCAAATCTAAAGGAATTTCTTAAGGCTTAGTAAACCAGCCGCCGTGATCTAGTTTCCAGCCAAATGGGAATCTTCCGCTTTTACAGTTATTTCAGCTAATTCTTAGTCACTACAAGAAGAGAAACTCAGCAAAGGTTTGATGCTGAAACATTCCAGAGAAAGGATAATCTCCACCATATACAAACTCCAGTATTTTATCTAATTGGTATCTCAATCCTGATTTACATTCACTCATTTATTTAATTTAGCAGTATAGTGACTATGCCATATACGTAGCAGATTGAGTGGAAGAGTTTTTCATCAAAGCTGACACTGTGTACACTTTGCACACCTAAGTCACGTGCCATCATGTACATGGTGTGGAAGGTAGGGGAGGCAGGTGTCCCCACTATCTTCCCAATAGTGGTGATGGCTCCACTGAGTCATCTTATCACCCTTGACTATGGAGGACTTCAGATCACCATCCTGCTTTGGATTACTGATGTGGTATAAGACTAGGAAATGGCTTTCTCAGGGATCATCTACTGGCCAGCTCATTTCACTAGCACTTATTACTATGTAAGGGTTCTACTGTCTTACAACCTGAATGACAGCTCTGGTCATTCAGATTATTCTGATGTTAGTTCTGTTTAGAAATAATATTTTCTATTTTATTTTCACATTGAAAAGCAGTCCAATTTGCTTCAGCCTCCAAGAGCATGTTTATGTAAAATTAAATGAGCACTGGCCACAAGCTGCACTTTTTTTCTAAGTGGGAAAATGGTTAAGAAGACCGCCATTGTGGATGCCCATCAGTGTGGATCCAATCACTGAGGACCAGAATAGAACAAAAAGGGAGAGGAAAGGCAAATACGTGCTCTCTGCTTGAGCTGGAACTTCCATCTTTTCCTGCCCTCAGACATCAGCACACCTAGTTCTTGGATCTTCAGACTCAGATGGAGACGGAAACTTATGCCAGGTGCTCCTGGGTTCTCAGCCCTCAGACTCAGACTGAATTAGACCAATGGCCTTCTTGGTTCTTTAGTTTGCAGATGGCAGATCTTGAGACTTCTTGGGGAACATCCTGGGACTTCCTGGCCTTCATAATCACATGAGCCAATTCCTACAATGAATCTCCTTCCTAATACACCTATGCTGTCTCTTTGGAGAACCCCAATTCTCTTTGGAGAACTCTAATATCTAATACAGCTGGCAACTTGTCAAAAATGTAAATCTGTAGGCCAGTCCCAGACCTCCTGAATCAGAAGGTCTGGGATTGGGGCCCAGCTATCTGTGTTTTAACATAATCCTCCAGAGGACCCAAATGCACGCTAAAGTCTGAGAACCACTGCTATAAATTACATTTTTTAATTGAGCATTCATTCAGATTTCCATTACATTTGGGTTTAATTTCCATTAAACCTATTAAGTACAGTTTATTTTCTAATATTGCTAAGTATAGATTTTATAATATTCCTATAAAAGTAAATTCGTATAGAGGGAAGCTTTGAATTTACCAACAGTTCAGTAGAAGAGGGTGACTAATATGAAACTGAACAATTGGCTTCTGTTTTTCTCATACTTGGTCTCTGGAACAAAATCTTTACAACAGTTTATAAGGAAATGCTTCATTACATTTCTCACATTTACTTCATCCCCTATGTTACACAGGTTCTCGGCATTTGAGGTGACTTCTGATAATTGCCTAAAATGAACCAGAATTACAGGGTGCTGAAGATCAAGGACCCTGAGAAGACATGAAGCTGAGGATTAAGCTTCATTGCTTTCCACCTGTGTGTTCTAAGAAAACTCCGCCACTTTAAGCCTCAGTTTCCCCAAATGTACAATAAAAATT